GGCAGGACCTCAGTGTATTGTTTGCAACATTTAAGCAGCAAACCCCAGATCAGGCCCTGCCCAGGCATACGCGAGGACCCACATATGAGATCATAATTTGTAATTTTTTTTTTTTTTATTCCAGGTCCTTTTTATAAATACCTTATAGACTAACGTACATACAAATTAATCCTTTCCTCTCTCTCTCTCTCCTTCTTTCTTCTCTTCTCTATTACCAATGTAAATGTAATGAACGAAACAATGTTATTTCGAAATGGAAATAGTCTTTATTCAAATAAACTCAATACAAGCACTTTTGAATTGTTATATTTTTTATCACGAGAAGAATGAGCAAGAAACTTGTGCGTTGCTCTTTTGAATTGATGTTTTTTTTGGGTACTAGACAATTAATACAAACGTATTTATATTACGTGCCTCTTCATTTTTAAAGTAATTTCTACATTACGTAGATGATATATCAGTATAACATTATTTTGGTATAAATGAATAAATAAAATATTTTGTTTTGTTGATAGCCTCGATGGTTCAGTGGTTAATAACACCGCTTTTCCTCCGATGGTCGCAGATTCGATTCTTCGCAAGGCACGAATATTTCAATCATGAATATGATTGTTTGTATCGGTCTGGATGTTTTCTATTTATAATATGTATTTATTTACGAAAAATTTAGTATTTATATCAATTATCTAGTGCTCATAATACAAGCTTTAGCTAGCTTAACCTGGGTCTAGATGGCGCTGTGTAAATTGTCCAGGGTTATTTATTTATATTTTATTTCTATCAGTTATTCATAACACCATCTGCCTTGCGTGGAACCAGATGGATCTAGATTTATTATCCAGTATTATTATTTATTAATATTTTTATATACACTTCCATTAGAACATTCTTTGTTGGAAACTATTCAGAAACTCGGTTTCGTCACAATGGGTTCACAATTATATACAATACGGTCAATATGAAAGAAAGAAATGAATAAGGGCTGACCGCGGTGGAACAGCCAACTGGAACATTCAAGGGTAGAATACAATAAAATTGGAAGGGATTGGCTATAAAAAGGGTTGGAGTCGGGTCGCTTTGAATGTTTTTTGAATATGTGATCTGAATACGAAGGTTGCCTTATTTTTCTGGTTAATCGACACAAGCAAAACTTTCACATTTACATATTATCATAGGAACGATGTTACGACCTAGGTGTTAATAAAAAAATACTCATTATATATATATAAGGACAATTCACACAGCACCATCTAGTCCCAAGCTAAACAAAGCCTGTAGTATAACTAATGCAAATAATTAAATACATTTTCTTGTAAATACATACATAATATACATAGAAAACATTTAGACCGATACAAACAATCATACATGTTTCGTACGTATTTACAAGTATTCACAAACTTGTAAATACGTACATAACAGGTATGTTATATAATACAAACATCGTCATATACTTGTCATACTTGTGAATATAAATGTTTGTAACTTCCTAAGAATCGACCGGCAACCATCGGAAGTAAAGCGACGCGCTAATCCGCTAGGATGAATCTTAATATAAAAGTTTTTGAAATAATAATATGGAAAATTTGTTAATTAATAATAATAAATTAACAACGAACTAAACTGTTGGCTTTTAAGATAAAGGTAAAGATAATATTCCAACAAAATCCATTAACAGTACACCTCAGCGATTAACTTTAATTGAAATTTCTAACCCTATTAACTGCTGATCAGGGGCATTATAATACCCTTTAGAGGTCCGCACAAACTTTGCACAATCAAACTGCCTTGATTACATCTTATAACGAGGAGCTTAATAAAGCCAACAAAAAAAACCGTGAACATTGCTAGCGGGAAGTCTCGTTATAAATTATATTATCCAAAGCCACATTGTTGAAAATTTTTCTTTAAAACTAGTGCATGGTGAGAAATTTTTAAACTAGATTGTAGCGAAGTTTTCTGGTGTGTAATATTTTAAGTTTTTAGAGCACAAAGGACTGAATAAACTAGATAAGTTTTCGTTGTAGAAATAACTGGGTTTTACTTGCGTGTGTTTACGAGAATGCATAACTAGTTTCCAGAACGTTTCAGACACTCTTAGCGCACAGACAATGTAGCGAGTTTCACGAGTGTAATGTTAGAGATAACTTTTGATTATTTTTAGTAAAAAACAATCTACTTATATTAAATTTTTTATTGGGAATTTGTTCATCTACTTGGAATGACAATGAGGGTGACGTTCATAATACTGATAAGTAGTAGCTATCAATATATGTACTTAAACAGCAATATAGATATCACATCATCATCTGGCTCCCGTGGCACCACTAATGCGTGGCCATTCGCGAAGGCTAAGATGTCATACATCTATCTTCTGTAATGCCACTACCTTATCTCATAATTTACCAAAAACACCTTTCAAAATAGCCGAGATGTCACGCAGACGACTTCGTATAAAGCCTACCTCGATAAAAATAATAATCGTAAGAACATAGTTATTTTTAAACTTCGTGTTTAATACACATTATTGTAGTAGTTGTAGTGTATTATAGTTAATAGAGTTGTAGCAACAGTCAATAAGAGTACGGATACAGTGAGTGCTGTGTGTCGCAATTGTTCGTTGAATAACCTTAGGACGTTAGTTGAAAAAATTACTGACATCTATCAACATTGACATCTCTATACGCTAGTCAGCTCCTCACAACGAGTAATGCAACTTAGTAACACAAATTTCTTAAAAATGTAATCTGAACAACATTTCTTTAAAAGTGCAACGCGCAAGTTATTGCTGTTCATTCTTCTCGTAATGCCTCACACAAGAACTCTTACTTCTCAGTCGTTCCGAATGAGTAGTAAAGAAATATAAATCTAACTGTCAAACGTTCTTCTATTAAGTGAAAAACAATTAAGTCTTAAAAAAATCGAATCATCGAGAGTGGTACCTTATAATTATTCATAGTAAGAATTAACATTATAATGACATTCATTCGTCAGTCTTATTTTCTATCAAAACAAATCCAAATAACATAAGAATTAAAATACACCATAAATATTACACTGTCTTTCTTTGAATTGCCGAAAATCAATACCATGAATTCTTTATGGAAAGATTACAAAGTAATTTGTCCAACTTTCGTCACATTCAAATATACAAGTCCAATCCAACAGTCGATAATTATCATTTACAGTCTTTACGAACATGTAAACTAACTGCGAGGGATCGATTGGAATGAAATCGACCTACATAACCGCACCACCGTCATACCAAGGACAAACGTCCATGTAAAATGTTGCGTTTTACAGTAGCGTAGTGTTTTTACAGCATTGAAGCCAAATAGGCTTGCAGCACATCTAATAATAAATGATTACAGCCGCCAATGAGCATTTTTTGGAACTATTCTAATGCTGTTGTCCACATATGGGCTTTATAACTTCAAAAACGATAAGGGCCCAATGCAGATGGCTCTCCAAGCGAAAGGTCTCATCGGCTGAAGGCCAACTTTCGTCTAAGAGATGCGACTTCAGTCTGAGGGAACCGCTATTTTCGAAGCTCGGATCAGGCAGTCGTAATTTCGATCTCCGTTTAAATTTGACCAGGGATAGCGCGGGCACCAACGCCAATAAGCACCCGTCCTTCCAGGGAAAATACGGATAAGTCATTGGTCTTTAAATAATCGAAATCTTTAAAGATAAGGAATTGGGAAAGGGATAGGAGAGAGAAGGAAATTCGTCCAGAACCTCGATTACTTACGAAACAATATAACACTTAATGCTGGTATTCTGGAGAGATGTGATTTTCCCGATTTGTGGCCCTTTTGTGTTTTACAACCACGGGTAGCTATAGATCTCTCGTCCAATTCAAAAAGAGATCGAAATTATGAGGGCCTGAGCTGAAGCTGGAAGGGATTGGATGTGAGCAGCGCAGGACCGATCGTCGTGGGGATCTTTGGGGGAGGCCTTTGTTCAACAGTGGACTGAGATGATGATGATGATGATGATGATGATGATGAGCTGAGGTTCAAACCCCTAACGGTACCCTCAGATTAAAATCGAATCCGTTAGGCGATAGCTGGCCAGCTGCGGCCAACAGCATTAGAATAATCCGAAAAAAAGCATAGTTATAAAGCGTACTCTACTAGTTATTTTCAGTTTGCTGTTTTATAACTTGTTCTATTTAATATTCACTGTAATTACATACGAAAATTGCTCCATTACGTATGTTTTTGTCGTGTGGGACTTATAAATATTCAGTGACGTTGTAATTAGTTTTGTTTTGCATAATTCCACCGTTTATATATTTGAATATTATCAGATTAACACCTGTTAAAGTAAATATTTTGTTCACATTGTGTTGTATTAAGTATATGAGATGCGTCAAATAGATTTGTAATGGAAAAAATGAAGGATACATGTTTAGGGAAGACCTGTTAGTAGACGGAGACTGAGATCTGAACGTTGCTTTTATTATGTAGAAACCATTATTTTGCAATGCTGTGGCAACTTTGGAAAATTCTTTCAAAGAAGTTGTCTATATTATATAGACAACTTCTTTGAAAGAATTTTCCAGACTTATATATAAAAATGTTTCTAGCTCAGCGGTTTGAGCTAAAAATTGATAGATTAGACAGAACATGCCTAATTATAAAAGACATCTACCTATTGACTACAAGACAACTGATATTAATACTAGACACAATTTTTTTTATACATACATAATATAGAAATCAGGCAAACATGACTGAAAACAACACGGTGCAAACATTTGTAATGTTTGCACCGTGAGAAAGAATCAAACCTGCGACAATGCGAAATAAAGTTTTAGTTGAAAGAAGGGATGCAAATTCGGTTAGGAATTTCTTAAGTGTAATAAAAGAAGTTGCGAGTACCGCCTAGTGTATATGCATTCTAATTTGTTATGATGTGATTGGATTAGAGATTTATTTAGACATTTGTTCGCAGGTTCCACCTTTTCACCATCAGCAATGTCCCCACACGCCAGATTCAGTAGACTTGAGGGCGACTACATTGCGGTAATGTGGAGGAGAGGACAAAGCCGGTCGCCGTAGTAGTAGTGTTTAGTATTCTCCACATTGGTAGGGGAACAGTTTAAGTAAGTTAGTATTTATTTATTTCTTGATATCAAAACTACGCAAGCTACAGTTTCCCTATATGCTCACTTAGGAAAATTACACAATGTTATAAGTTAATAGGCATAGCACAGCATCGGTGTATGACACCGCTTTTCTTCAGATGGTGGCGGGTTCGATTCTTTGCACTTCTTTTCCTTGGATGTTTTCTATGTATGTACTTACAAAAAATATATATCTAATCCACACAGAATACTTTTTATAAGCAGTACCTCCTGTATTGTGGACTTCATAATACAGTGATATCTTAGTATTCTGGAATGACAATATACGAGTGGAATCAAGAGTATCACATGATAACATGATGTACTATATGCTTGGTGTTTCCAATCTATACATATAAATAAAATTAGAGTGTCTGTTCGTAATATTGAAATAACCGTTTTTTACTACATGCATGATGATGCATGAATATACATACGGTACATATACCAAAATAACATTTTTTACAATTTTGTCTATCTGTTTGTTCCGGCTAATCTCTGAAATGGCTGGACCGATTTTGACGGGACTTTTTTTGGCAGATAGCTGATCTAATAAGGAGTAAGTTAGGCTACTTTTATTTTAAAATAAAGTTAAATTCCACGCGAACAAAGTCGCGGAAACAGCTATTTTAATTGAATATACAAAAATGTTCTTTTTCTTTCAAATTGCTTTAATAATGAACATCACATTATGCTATTTAAGGCACAACAATACCTTAGTTATTGGAGGGAGCCGTTTTGTTATTCTCGTCGCGTTATATAGCCACCTGACTTGAATATATTGTAATGCAAAATTACAACGTTACATTTTATTGTCTGATTGATTTTAAACATCAAATCTCCTAGTATTTCTAGTTACAATAGTCTTTATAGTTATAGGTTTCATAATCCATACGAATAATAACAATCTCAAGATAATTTGACGAACTCGGTGGTCTAGTGGTCTAGCACACCGCTTTAAGTCCGATGGTCGCGGGTTCGGTACAAACATTTGTATTCATGAGTACGTGTTTGTACAAAACACCCAGACTGGTACATGTTTGTATCAGTCTGGGTGTTTTGTACGGATAATATGTATGTTTTTACGAAAAATAAAATATCTGTGTGAAAAATAAAGTATCAGTTATCTAGTACCCATAACACAAGCTTTAGCTAGCTTAACTTGGGACTAGATGGCGCTGTGTGAATTGTCCTGAGATTAATATTATTATTATTATGTTATTCTGATGCATATGCTATATCAGCATATGCATAGTCTATATTTTATATTGAAATTTGAGTGTTAACAACATATGCATAGTCTATATCTTATATTGAAAATTGAGTGTAACCGCGGGGCATAGCTAGTAGTGTAACCAGACAGAAAATTTTTAGCATTTCTAACATTTGTACTACATTAGATATAACATTGTATCCACGTACTGCACAATCGAGGCTTTGAAGTGTGTCACATGAGCTGGCCTCTTCATCGTACTTGAGACACTATCAGAAAGTGATACTTCGAGTGGCAGATCACTTAACTACATCTTGACTTATCGATAGCCTGCCTTTATTAATGATAGATAGATAGATAAAGATAGATAACATAATTACCTTTATTGTTAACAATAAAACAAGAAAAAAAATATTGTCAAAAAACAAAAAAAATATTCAAATCCTATGTGTACAAAACACAACATTTATTGTCAACTGTGCACGACGCACCTCTTTGTATATTATTTATGTATTTTGTCTATTATTTTATATAGAAAAATGTATATGTCATTGTCATTCTTGTTCTGTTAATAATTATACTTTTGTACATAATATTATATTATTGCTTCCTAAAACCCGTGTTTGCATAATTATATTTACCAGCTCCATATATATACAGTCCTTCGTTCACATTTTTGGTCCTTCTCCCATAATTTATTAACAAATTTCTAAATTATAAATTCACAATTTTATAAATATGGAAACACGGTCGGGTCGTAAACTAGGATCGGCAATCCCTCGTACGGCAAAAGCGTTGCCATTGTCATTACCGGCAGAGGAAACGCAATCTGATGCCCGCGCCACGGCGCTGGTGTCGACCGTACCACCGATCGCGGTTAGTACTCACAGTACATCGGCCTGCAGCCGCTCATCTGCCACGGTACGTGCTAAAAAACTTGCAGCTCAAACACAGCATGCACACCGCCTTGCACAAATTGAAATGGAGGCGGCAGAAGCTCGTCGTGCTAAGTTGGAGGCGGCGAGGAAGGAATACGAAGCAGAAATTGAAGCAATCAGTTCCCGGGGCAGCCGATCTGGTAGTCGTGCTAGTGTTCATCGTAGCTGCTCGGAAGTTGTGGACAAATGGTTAGATAACAATAATTATCCTATTTCGTCTCAATTTCTTAATAATCCGCAGATTCCTACGGTAAACATACATCCCCCTACTGTCACCTTAGTTGAACCGATCGCTGCCTTAGTATCGGCAGTAGATAAGTTGACAGATAAAATTACCGCTCCGAAAGGGATTAATATAAAACTTCCTCATTATGATGGAAAGTCCCCTACGGAATGGCTTTCTTTTAAACGTGTGTTTCAGGACACACAGTCTGGTTATTCACCAACAGAGAACTTAGCTCGTCTGAGCTACGCATTACGAGGTATCGCGCGAGAGTCTGTTGACAAGCTCTTAGTGACTGCCCGAGACCCAAATATTGTCATGCGTGCGCTCGAGGTTCGATTTGGACGACCAGATTTAATTATATTACAAGAACTTTATTCAGTGAGATCGTTGCCGAGGTTAGGTAACGATAAAGATCTAGCAACATTTGCTAGTAAAGTTCGTAATTGTGTAGAGACTCTACGCTTATTAGATGGCGGTGACTATATAAAATCACCTGAATTATTTAATATATTATTATTAAAACTACCTATTGTGTTAAAAAGTAGATGGTATGATTTTGCTATTTCTCATGAATATAGTGGTCAAAACAAGCTAGAAATGCTCGCTGAATTTTTATGTCGTGAGGTTGAGATTCAGGCTAAATTTGGTGTCACGGATTACTTCAGTTTTAACACAACTTCCAATATTGACAGGCATAAAAAACCAGAACGTGTGAATGCCGCGGAAGTGTATGATTTGCTGGAGCAGTCGTCACAAATATTCGAGACGGGTTCCTGTATTGAAACATCTCTTACAACGGCTGAAAATTCATTAAAAAATTCATCAAAACAAATTTGTACATATTGTAAAGGATTTCACGCATTAGTCAATTGTAATAAGTTTTTGGCATTGACAGTTCATAATAAATGGCATTTCGTTAAAGAAAATAAATTATGCCAGAAATGTTTAAAAAGAGGTTCACATAATTATAATACTTGTCGTACTAAAGGACTTTGCAATAAAGCCGGTTGCACACATAAACATCACAAGTTACTTCATAATCCAAATTTTATTAATTCAGCAGCTAATATACAGGTATCTGAAGAGTCAAGTCGGCCAATGTCACATGCAGGTAATGATAATGCAGAGCAGTCTCCGTCGGAATTGGTATCACAGACATCTTCTGTTAGTACCACTACTTCTTGTAAGCCATTACTAAAGGTTGTCGCTGTCACAGTATCTGGTCCCGCGGGTTCTGTTGATACTTTCGCGTTACTGGATGACGGGTCCACGGCTACCTTCATTGACTCAGAAATTACCTCTCAGATTGGAGTAACGGGTACAGTAGAACAAATTGAACTGCAGTGTGTTGGTGGCTTATCAAAACAGTCGCAAGTCGAGTATGTTGACTTTCAAATAAAAGGAAAGAGATCTGCTGATTCCTTTGTCATCAAACAAGCTAGATCTATTACTAACCTCGGACTGGCGAATCGAAATGTCAATAAGAGTGATGTTCTTGCGTTTCCATATTTGTTAGATATAGCTGACGAATTATGTTATAATGCCAAACCTACCATTATAATCGGTATAGATAATTGGAATTTGTCTGTTCCCATGGCAGTAAGACAGGGATCTAGTTCTCAACCTGTTGCCATTCTTACGGTACTAGGGTGGGTTCTTTTCGGATTTGTTCAGAATAGAACAAATACTGTTCATTTTGTAAATAATGTATGTGATTACGATTTATGTAGTGATAACTTACGAGTTGTCAATGATGTGGTAGCCAAATTAGGAGTTAGTTCAAATAGGTTACCTTTGAGTAAACCGGGACTATTGAAATCTTTTCTTAATATTGTAAATCGTTTTCACGAGGAGAGTGTCATAATTAACGATGACATTAAAGCAATATATCCTCAGGTTAAAATCCGCAACACATATTGTGATGCGCAACGTTTTACTTGGAGAGACAGTTCTAAAGAATCATTGAAAACATATCTTATGTCTTCAAAGATATATGGCGCTGCATCGAGTCCGTTCACGGATTTGTTAATTAATAATAAATCTCGTTATCAGTTTCCTAGAGTCACACACGTCATCTTTCATGATCATTATATAGACAACTACATTACGAGTAGGTATAGAGTCTGTTGAGAGATTTACTCGTTTACTAGCTGTTATTCATACATATTGGGAGGTTAATTTTGAGATATTTGATGAACCAAGCGTGCTGTCACTGATATCAAAGTATTTGTGCTTTAATCAATCATTAGATGAGTTTCATGTAGAAGTAGTTAGCGCACCAGTACATGCACTTGGTTTATTATGACTCCCAGGGACGAGTTTATTGACTGACACTACTTATCTTCATTACTTTAATAGAACTATTTGAACTAAAATTAAAGTACATAGCTGCATTAATGCCAACGTTCATCAATTTTTCACATTTACATTTGTCACTCATCTGTGCCAGAACATTTTAGTTGATAGTTTACAACATTAATTACAACCGCAATTGCGTATAAATTGATTTTTTTATATTGCGACTGCGTAGTTTATGTTTACAATTTATACATTTAAAATACTTGATATTTCTAAATTAATTAAATTAAATTATTGTATTTTCTGTCTTTTATAGATATTTTTATTAATGTAACGGCACTAACTTCGCGCGTTAACGTCTTATATTTGAAATACCCTGATGGTTGAAGATTTCAATATATCTGAGATATACGTCATATTCAATATTCAAGAAGATGCCTTTAGTGATAAGATTGCTTGTGTTGCTGACCACTGGCTTCATAAACCTCAAAGTTAACTGTATTATCTCCACAGAATGGTCCTGACAAACTACACTGCTCGTATGGTATTTATCTTAGATGTCAGCGACGAAGTCAAGTTTCCTCTTGTTTTAGATAGAGAACATATTAGTACATACAGATGGTTCTCTGAGTTATGAAGGTGAGAGAGCGATAAGGAACTCCAAAGGTAGAGATTATTACAACATTAGCGGAGGTGGACAGCCTTATCAACAGATTTTTGGCCATGCAATTAAATTTTTGAAGGAGTTTCTTGTCAGTCCGACTGAGATTGCGATTTCATTTCACACGGTAACTGGAGGATTACAGTATGCTTAAGCTTTGGAGTTGATGGGTGAGAGAGTGCTTCCCAAGACTATTATCTCGTCATTCAAACTCAAACTCAGATTGAACTACCACTATTGGAGACATTCTTATAATAGCCGATGGAAACTTTCCCCGAGGTAGATGGCCCCGATGACGTGTGGTTACTTTTTCCCTGAAGAATTGGCTGATGTTCAAACAAGGATGTTCAAGCAGTTGAAGAAACTCTAAAACGTTCTTTAAATAAGTTAGTGCCGATAGTGATGTCATAGTTCGTACTTCATATAATTTTTCTTTATGTATAATGATTCATTTACTTTTCTTTTAGTATTATTGTTTTGTCATTGTTCCAGTATAAAAGCTGAGTTTAGTTTAGTTCACTAAATTGAAGACTCTTGTTCTTTTGATCTTTAGACTATGTGCACGACGCACCTCTTTGTATATTATTTATGTATTTTGTCTATTATTTTATATAGAAAAATGTATATGTCATTGTCATTCTTGTTCTGTTAATAATTATACTTTTGTACATAATATTATATTATTGCTTCCTAAAACCCGTGTTTGCATAATTATATTTACCAGCTCCATATATATACAGTCCTTCGTTCACAGTCAACATTAACAAATTAAAAAGTATACACAAAAATCAGAACAAACTATACACAGTAGGCAACAGGAGTTTTTTTATACATATATTGTTTTTATTTTGTATTCAAAAATTTTATTCATATATGTTGTTACTGGCAGTTTGTCTACCATTCTTTTTGTAAACTTTATATTTTTATATGTCACTTTTGACTAACTAATTGTTCTGTTACATTCTCACTGTGAGCCCTTTTGGGAAGAATACAATTTTTTACTAGTATTTGGTTTTTATTAAAATAGTAGTTTTGTTCCCACTCCAGTAAGATATTTTCTCAACTACCTACAAATGTACCTAAAATATTTATAGTTGGAAGGGAGTTGCTTTCGTGGGACAGGTTTACCTATTTTGAAAGTCACGGCAAAATGTATTGTAGTGTACTTTTATGAAAAAAAAATACACTATTATTATTATTTACTATTATAACAGCGCTGGTTTTCGGGCAAACCCCATTACTCATGATCAATTGCATCATAATATTTGACGACCTCGGTGGTCTAGTGGTTTCGTACACCAACTTACTTTCATTGTTTGCGGGTTCGGTTCCTCGTGTGGTACAAATATTTATATTATATTACTATATAATTGTCTGTGTCAATTTGTGTATTTATATGGATATTATGTCTGTATTTCTAAAACAAAATGTATCTATATATAAAATAATCTTCTTTCTGTTTGCAAGGACAAACGTTTTTTTTCTTTTGCAATGGCTCCCAAATCTTGTTTTCTCTGTAAATGTACCGTTGATTTAATTTATTGAATTATCAAGTTTTAGGATGTCTAATAAATAAATAAAAGTAATATATTTATATCAGTTTTCTATAATAGTACCCATAACACAAGCTCTGATTAGCTTGGGATGAGATATGTCTGTATAAATTGTCGCAGGAAAAATAATCTTCCTGCTTTATAATTTTTACATTGTATTATTATTTAACTTTCCATGTAAATATATTACTTCGGGTAGAATTTAGCAAATTATATGCTTCAATATTTGAAGCATATATCATCAACCTTTTGAGCTGAAACTTTTAACTTTTATAACAAGAGTCTGCACAAAGGTTTTAACAGCGTAGATTATAATTAATATCTTATTATATTAAACAATTTATTGAGCCTTTATAATATGATTATCTGTAGTATTAATCACAAAGGCTTATTGAGTTATGAGCAAAGGTTGTTAATTAATTAATTCATGCTTGATGGCTACGAATAAATATATGTTGGAAGAAAAATATCAAATTTAATACAATTAAAATCAATTATATTCCTAACTTAATAGTAAGCAGTTATTATATGTGATTTTATTTAATTGGATTGGCATATAATATAACACTTGAATGGCAAATAATGTGACACTTGAATGGCAAATAATCTATCTCTCAATTCAACTAGAATTAAACGAAAAGTTCCTTGCATAAATATCCTACGTTATTCGTTACAACTCTACGGCTTTTATGAAGAACATCCTGTTGTGAAAATTTTAAAATACTTAAAGTATTTTTTGTGTAGATAAATGAATAGATAGAAATATAGAAATTTACTTCATTTACATCAACAGATACACAAGTACACATTTCATAACATAGTATAAATTAAAAAAAAACATAAATATAATATTTTTTTACAATTTTTGTCTGTCTGATTGTCTGTCTGTTTGTTCCAACTAATCACTGAAATGGCTGGACCGCTGGCTACTTTTATTTTAGAAATTACAGAAAAAAAAAAACAATAAATATAAAATTTCACATATAACCTTCCTTTCCTTTTCTTATATGCAGACCACCAGTGATGTAAAATCTCATTATGTTGTTCCCAACAGAAATGAATCATCTCAATATGGACTTGGAGAACCACGTGGTTCTCCTCTTTCCTTATATGTAGACCACCAGTGATGTAAAATCTCATTATGTTATTCCAAACAGAAATGAATCTCCTCAATGTGGACGCGGAGAACCGCGTGGTTCTCCTCTTTCCTTATATGTAGACCACCAGTGATGTAAAATCTCATTATGTTATTCCAAACAGAAATGAATCTCCTCAATATGGACGCGGAGAACCGCGTGGTTCTCCTCTTTCCTTATATGTAGACCACCAGTGATGTAAAATCTCATTATGTTATTCCAAAGAGAAATGAATCTCCTCAATATGGACGCGGAGAACCGCGTGGTTCTCCTCTTTCCTTATATGTAGACCACCAGTGATGTAAAATCTCATTACGTTGTTCCAAACAGAAATGAATCTCCTCAATATGGACGCGGAGAACCGCGTGGTTCTCCTCTTTCCTTATATGTATACCATCAGTAATGAAAATCTCATTATGTTGTTCCAAACAGAAATGAACCTCCTCAATATGAACACGGAGAACCGCGTGGTTCTCCTCTTTCCTTACATGTATACCATCAGTAATGAAAAACTCATTATGTTGTTCCAAACAGAAATGAACCTCCTCAATATGGACGCGGAGAACCGCGTGGTTCTCCTCTTTCCTTATATGTATACCACCAGTGATGTAAAATCTCATTATGTTGTTCCAAACAGAAATGAATCTCCTCAATATGGACGCGGAGAACCGCGTGGTTCTTAATGTGGGAGGTATTCGCCACGAGACGTACAAGGCAACGCTGAAGAAGATCCCCGCGACGCGGCTGTCCAGACTGACGGAGGCCCTTGCGAATTACGACCCAGTGCTGAACGAGTACTTCTTCGACCGACACCCGGGCGTGTTCGCACAAGTCCTCAATTACTACAGGTAACACTTGTATTTATATCTAGTATAGTATTAATATATTTATATCTGTAATTTTAAACTACTCTAAAAACTTTCTAGCGCGGTGGTTATCCTCATCACTGTAGCGTTCTATATGTTGTGATGAGGTGCCGCTACATAATATATTATTTATTGTAGTATGTAGGTAGTGAGTATACCGGTAAAATGATTGCACTATTTATTAGACATTATTAAGTTTATTGGTAGTATGCTACATGGCTTATTAGTAACGCGTCCAGTCGACGCGGAGTCGGGACGTAGACTAAACTGATTTTACACTTAACTTAAATCTATGTTAGTGGAGACTAGACGTAAACCAAGGGAAGGGTCTCAAGTGTCGACAGAAATATTACAAGTGTAGGCACAACTTGATGACCTCGGTGGTCTAGCGGTCAAGCACACCGCTTTACGACCGATGGTTGCGGGTTCGATTCCTCGCACGGCACAAACATTTGTATCCATGAGTATGATTGTTTGTATCGGTCTGGGTGTTTTCTATGTATAATATGTATGTATTTACAAAAAAAAAATATCTATGTATTTGTATCAGTTATCTAGTACCCATAACACAAGCTTTAGCTAGCTTAACTTGGGTCTAGATGGCGCTGTGTGAATTGTCCTGAGATTATTATCCTGAGATTATAACTTAATAAATTAATCATGACAAAGAATGTGTAAATAAAGTAAGTTTAAGTTTTGAAATCCTGCGGCAGAAAAGATTTTTATTATTACTACGAATCATAATATTTAATCGAATTAGGTGTTATTTTGCGGCAGTCCATTTCACTATTCGATGGATTTGTATTATTTTGTTTAATTCCGCCACAATCAACATGTGTGAGACCATAGACATTCGGTGCGGAAACCTGACCAGCGCTACGACCCTCTCCAGTGGCGATCAAATTCCGACCATTATTGAGTCTACACCCATATCGCGACACGTGTTTCGCCTCTGAACGAGGCATCATCAGGCGTTAAATAGAGTCGGCGACTCATCGGCGACCAAACCGCCACATATGTCGCGGTTTGGTCGACGATGAGTCTACACTAGGCTTCCGAGCTGTACCCGAACTCTATATTATAATATATATATAAATCAATCGAATACGAGTAATAATGCATATAATAAAAATTTTAATTTTAAAAATTCTTTCACTGTTATTGAATTTAATTATCCCTGAGTGTTATAGACTATATAACATTACGCTACGACTAATAAGACCAGAGTAGCAGTAAAAATTTTGGCAAGAAATATTAATTTGGGTATATAATTCATTTTGACTGGAAGAACTCTGCGTGCGCGTAAACAGTAATGCAAAAAATATGGATAACAGAATCTCCTTTAAAATTTCTATAAAAAACTTGGTACAACATATGTTTATCTTTTAAAGTTAACTCACTATAAGCGGTGGTCGCTAGTAAATATATAAATAAATAAAACGTCTACTTAATAATACTTGAATGTCACTATTATTGAAGCTGAGACGTGGTCGAGTGGAATGAGTAGTCATGCTCACTAAAATGTCCAGACATGTGGCGGCTTGGCCGGGTCATTGGGCTCCCTAAAATATGGTCGAGTGCAGTGATGGCTGGCTCATACGTCATACTCGTGAACAAGTGCTGCTTGTAGGGACTGGTCTGCTCTTATCACTACGACTGATTTAATCTTATTGTATATTTATATTTGACTCAAAAAATTAGTGCTGGTTGGTAGTTTGTATTCACACGTTTCGACTTGTAAATGTAAACTTACAAGGATTATTTAAAAGAGCAACACGCAAGTTTCATGCTCGTTCTTCTTGTGATGAGACAGCTTTCCGAACGAGTGGTAGATAAAAAACAAATTGTTATGACTATTCAAAAGTGCTTAGATTAAGTTTATTTGAATAAATGATTTTGTATTCTATTCTATTCTGTTCTATCAGTTAATTATGAAATAATATGTAACGCTACTATACAAAAATATGTGGGACACTTCATTAAAACTTTCTCGTACTAAAATGTGGAGTCGCTAAATATGCGAGAGTAATTTACAAATTCTCCGATGAGTCAAGAATCCCATGATCGCATTCTGAATACCAATTAATGTAGGCATTAATCTGTTAACATATCCATGATTAATTTCAATACAACCTTCTGCAGGGTTAGGTCATTATTAGAAATTCAATTTGCTGGATTTAAATGTAGGCAGTAATCAGTGTTTGTAAAGGTTGATGTTACTAACGTTATATTAGGGTAATGAGAAAAGTTTGGCGTGATTAATAGTTCAAATACACAATACCTGCGTATAATATACTAGCTATAACTTAATAATGTAGAAATTATAGTTGTTACTGTAATATTAGTAGTTAATAATGTAGGAATTATACACTAGCGAGCAAAAGTATAGAATCCCTTACTTGGAATTGATTCCGCGCGATCCTGAGTACTTAATAACTAGTTAACGGTAATAAAAATGGTACAATTTGAAAGCTTAAACTGTTAATTTTAAATTGATACTAAACAATTGAAACATCTTTTTCCTTACTCCTTCACTCAATCCGGGATAGTTCCTTAAATACTGGTGCGATAGAAATGAATATGATATCACGGCACAAACATTTGTATTCAGGACTATGATTGTTTGTATCGGTCTGGGTGTTTTCTATGTATAATATGTATGTATTTACGAAAAAAAATTATCTATGTATTTGTATCAGTTGTCTAGTATCCATAACACAAGCTTTAGCTAGCTTAACTTGGGTCTAGATGGCGCTGTGTGAATTGTCCTGAGATTATTATTATTATTAATTCACTTTGTGTTTTGTTACAAATAGATAAAAAATCATGTATTATATATATTTATTGTTAAAAAATTTAATGCACAAATACAAAAATAAAGGTGCAAATTGCGGACTTAACACCACAAGGCATTTTCTCCCAGTCGACCACAGGATAAACAGAGATATATATTATTTATTTATTTAAACTCTTTATTGCACCAGACAAAGAAAGCACACAAAATGTATTACAGAAACTGATACAAATTATAGCTATTTGTATCAGTTTATGTAATATATCATTTTGTGTGTTTTCTATGTCTATATATTGTCACTATTATAGTTAGTAAGTACTCAAGATCGCGCGGAATAAATGCCAAGTAAGTGATTCCATACTTTTGCTCGAGTGTAATTCTTACTGTAATATTAGTAGAAGTAGAAGAATTGCAGGCATGATGCTCAGCTACTTTTTACCACCGCATCACTCGACACCGACAGGGAATTCATCTCGATACGCTTAGTCGCGGACAGTGCGGTTTCAGAGATACGTCCTCCTGCGTACACTTAATTTGTTGAATGAACTACCTGTCCAGGTTTCTACGAGAGACTACATCATTCAAGAATGGTATATTAAGGTTTCTTAAGGGACGCACGGGCAACGCGCACGTGACACCTCTGGTGTTTCAGGCATCTATGGCATACGGTAGCCATATAGGCCGTATGCTGTTTTGCCGCCAATATAAAAAAAAACATAAAATAGATACACAAAATAAATAAAATAAAGGTAGTAGTGGATTAGATATTTCATAAGACAGACGGTAGATTTGACAAATTATAAGTCTGTAATATATATGAATGAAGATATTTTTATTTGATTAGTCCCAAGATAAGCAGTGCTTGTATTATGGTTACTGGACATCTGATTGATATACTAAGTTATTTTTAATACATACATAATAGACATAGAAAACATCCAGACTGATACAAACTATCATACTTATGAATATAAATTATTGTACCGTGCGAGGAATTGAACCCGCGACCATCAGAAGTAAGGCGGTATGCTTAACCACTAGATCGTCAAGGCCACTATTGTTTACCATGATCAACTAAGAATAAATTCGTCTCATTCAGCACCATCATCGGGTATTGTCACAGACATGGAAAAACCAAAAATATTATTATAAAAACTTATTTATAATTTGTTTAAAAGTGAATTATTACTTAATACCTCGTTAGCATAATCATTGTGTATTGTTAAGAACTTCTAAGAATAAAATCCCACACCTTTATTATCGCATCGTAACAAGGCGTTCTGAATAGAATATAACGCACACAGAGCTACATAACACCCTAACAGAGCCCATTGCAATAATGATCAAATTTGTTCGATATAAGAGGCGTGGATTCTCGAAAAAGAGTACAATAAAAAGAGTTTGAATTATGTAATTTTCTACCGTCTAACAAAGTATTTACTGGTAACGCCTTAAAAATATCGGATAAAAAATTCACGAATAGAAGAGCCCTCCCCAAACGTAAGGGAGGTAATGAAAAAATACGAGCGGAGATTCTTTCAATTCACTGTGGATTTCTTTGTGACGTTATAAAAAGTACTATTTCAGGTTTGATCGGTGAAATTGAAATGTTTTTATTTTATTTCAAGATTTTGCTAATATGCAAAATCTTTAAATAATATAAATACCTACAATAGAATGAATAGAATGACTACCTCAGTGGTCTAGCGGTCTAGCACACCGCTTTACGACCGATGGTTGTGGGTTCGATTCCTCGCACGGCACAAACATTTGTATTCATGAGTATGATTGTTAGTATCGGTCTGGGTGTTTTCTATTTATAATATGTATGTGTTTCCAAAATATATATCTATGTATGTATGTACATATGTATCAGTTATCTAGTACCCATAACACAAGCTTTAGCCAGCTTAACTTGAGTCTAGATGGGGCTGCGTGAATTGTTCTGAGATTATTACTATTAATTCACTTTGTATTTTGTTACAAATAGATAAAAAAGCAAGTGTTATATATATTTATTTATTTATTAAAAGTTTAATGCACAAATACAAAAATAAAGATGCAAATTGCGGTCTTAACACCATAAGGCATTTTCTTCCAGTCGACCGTAAGGTAAACCTAGATATATATATATATATATATATATATGATTTTTAGCAAATAATATGAATAGCAAATAAGCTACGTCCCGCCTGATGGTAAGCTGTTACCGTCATCTACATACTTGAACATACAGCATCACGGATATGAAATCATTGTGTAACTCCCATGACACCACTCAATCATTGCCGTTACAGAGAACTATAATTTGACTGCCTAATCTTACCCTACGAGTCTTACATCTCTCTCTTTGTAAGCTGAGAGACTCGAGGAGTTGTGACTCGTGAACAGCTGTGAGGAGTTGTGACTCGTGAACAGGTGCTGCTTGTGGGGACTGATCTGTTCAGGTTACGAACGAAAAGCAATAGCATATACTGATGGTATTATTGTAAACATGTACAACATTTATTTGAAATGAATACGAGATCAGTTTCTTGTCAGTTCTGATATTGAAATCATTCCGAACTGACGGTAGATTTGACATATCATAAGAATCGAAATTATTATATTCAAATTCAAGCTAGCTATTCAAAGAGGGAACGCTGCCAGTATCTTCGGAACGTTACCTAAAGGGACCCCTTATAATAATATATTTTAGTCATTACATTATATTTTTTAAGCTTTTTAGTTTAAGTTATTAGTTGTACAATTAGGTTATGTAAATAAATTGATAATTACATTTAAAAAAAAATTCAAAGTACCTTTAGTCATATCACGAATAAAGATATTTTAAATTTGAATTTGATTAATTTCTAGCTATATGTATTATTATGGATACAGATATATATACAAGATCATAATCATAATCATAATCTTTATTGTCTAAAAATTTTTTTTTTTTTTACAAATACAAATCCCTAGAAGTCCCTGAATTCTGAGGTAGGTATAGAAAATACCTGTGTTTCAGAAGTCAGTGTCCTCTTCCATATTTAGGTGTACTTTAAGTGAGTTTGTTATGATATATTACAATTTACGTAGGTTAGTGTAATCATAGGAGTGTGTGTGTGTGTGTGTGTGTGTGTGTGTGTGTGTGTGTGTGTATGTGTATGTGTGAGTTTGAGTGTATGTGTGTATGTGTGTATGTCTTGAGAAATTGGTGATAATCTAGAAACGCCTATAGAAGTGCTATTACCGTATCAATAATTCTGTCTGTTCATAATCTAGTGTTAATAACCATTTCTTAAGGTTCTTTTTGGCTATATGGTGTGTTTGACAATGAAAATTTATTTTTTATATATACAAGATCACTCTTTTACACCACGATTTCATTAAGACGTTTACTTAAAAGGAAGCCAAATTGATTCTATTGATAGCGAATATTTCGGTAAACTTTGGCAAACTTTGATTTATTTAGGTCAAATCCTTTAGATAACGCTGCCAAGATTGATTAACATTTGGTCGTAATCTCGGCTAATATTGATTTACTGAGTGGCTTAGACATTTTGAGTTGTGTTCACACATGACTTCAATATTGACAAGGAAAACCTCATGCGTATAACTTATGTTAGATATATCAACTCTATGTACTAGTAAAAGTATGTATTATAATAAAATAACAACTATATAACATTAATTTAACTATATCTCTAACACAATTTACTTTAGCAATTAAAATACAACCAGCACATCCTGTGCACAAAGACCGAATGCCGCGGCTTACAAAAACCCTCCCTTTTATACAGAGAAGATATGAGTGGGGGTTATATGCAACTAGTTTAACGATACCGAGTAATAATGAAACTACCTTCTTTTAATATAAAATATCAGATTTTTCGAAAATAATATAAATATATAATATAAACACTTATCAATCACTGACTATTCAAATAAACTTAATATAAGTAGTATTGAGTAAATAAAAAAAATATGACTATTCAAAAGTGCTTATACTTTTTTATCCTATCACTAATTTGGAACGCAGACTCATAGAAGAAGAATGAGCAAGGAATTTTCCTTTCAAATAGTTAAACGGTTTCTCAAATTGTAGTGGTTTCGGTTACAGTCCACGTATAAGACTTACTATGTACTAATTTCATTAGTAATTTAATGTATGTTCAAATTAGTGTAATTTAAAGAGTTATTAATTAATCAATAATTAATTCAAAAATAAAAATTATTATGGAAAAAAATAAACTTAAATTTAAACACTTTTTAATAGTCATACTTATTTTTTTAATCTACTACTCGTTCAGAATGCTATCTCACCATAAAAAGAACGAGCAAGAAACTTGCGCGTCATAAAATACTATAAAAATAAAAAAAATACTAAACTGACTAGTCACAAAAGTAAGATAAATATTTTTCTAATATCACCATTATCAGTATTATAATTCTAAAATTGAATATAAACTTCCCTTTGTAGTGCCTATAATTTTCGTTCGAACTCGTTCCTATACAGCAAACTATTTAATTCTATCTAACGATAACAAAAATCAACAGTAGTAGCAATTAAAAAAATTAATGACTACTTACAAAATATTGAGAATTAATTATACATAAAAATTATCTTAGATAGATAGGTGAATGATTTATATGTATCTTCAGCACACACATAATTGAAAAACAAAATTAAAACAAAATAAAACAAAGTTGCAACCATACACGCGTTTCAGCAGCACAAAACAATCAGTGTCTCGACTTATTGTTTCTTTCTTTTAAATAAAAACACATCAAAATTCACGTAGTTTTTTGATATCAAAACATACATAGGTGTATTGTATAGAAGATATATTACCCGGAAATTGAAGCCGTTTAAAATTAAAAATAATTTTCAAAATTTAAAAATAGAACCTATGCAAGAGTGGAGCCACCTGGCACAGACATTTTTATGCTTAAAAGGAGGTTTCAACAACTCTATAGAATTTTGAGGGGGTTCGTTTCTACTCGGTAAAGCGGTGTCTGGGGCAGAGACGCGTAATTTTCTGCCCCGCTTGCCTTCTACAATACAGTTATGTGTTGAATTGTCATGATGCATTTAGAAGCATGTCCTTTGTAAAAATTGTGTCACCTAAATAAACAATATTGTATTAAGAATTTTGAACTAAATGAAGATGAATGTGGATGGATGTAAAGGGAGGGGACGCTCTAAGAAAAGATGGATGGATGTATGTGATGATGTGTGAAAGATGATATCAATATAAGAAGAATATGCTCAGATATGATGACCGATAGAGAGCAGTGGAAGAGAATGACATACTGCGACGACCCCAAATAATGGGATAAAGGCAAGGCAGTAATGAATGAATTTTGAACTGTATTCCTTCAATTATTTTTTGACAAAAAGATTTTTCTTATTCTTGTCAAATTATTTTTGTTCATAGAACGGGCAAGCTCCATTACCCGACAGACGTCTGCGGACCTCTGTTTGAGGAGGAGCTGGAGTTCTGGGGTCTCGACGCCAACCAGGTGGAGCCGTGCTGCTGGATGACCTACACGCAGGTATGTTAGCTGTCATTTATTTGTTACTAGAAGCGCCGTTAAACCTATATAATTTTATTATAACCTATGTGTTATTCTGATGTATAAGCTATATTACTGTAGAGTTTAAACAAAATCCGTTCAGTAGTTTTTGCGTGAAAAAGTAACAGACATCCATGTACCCATCTAATCATCCATACTTACAAACTTTCCTTCCTGTAGCTCTATCTATCTATAGCTCTATATATATAGAGGGAATAGTGGCCTGGCAACCATTGCTGTTATATCCAGATGAATTTGATCATCATTGGTTAACTGATTTCACTTCATCCTCGTCCAATAGGGCCCCGCTAGCTGAAATATATATAGGTGAACGGATTTTTAAAATCGGTCAAGTATTTTCTAAGTTTACTTATTACATATATATATGTTTACATATAGATATTATAATAGATAGAGTGATTCAAGAGAATAGTATATGAATTATACATACTACATAGATATATACGCATGCGACGCCGGGGCTGGAAGCTAGTATAAACAATCAATCTATATATTTATATATATATAACTCCAAGGTGACTGACATAGTGATCTATCAACGCACAGCCTAAACCACTGGACGGATCGGGTTAAAATTTGGCATGCAGGTAGATGTTATAACGTAAACACCCGCTAAGAAAGGATTTTGATTAATTCTACCCCTAAGGGGAAAAAATAGGGGATGAAAGTTTGTCAATTTTAAACCGATCGGGCTGAGACTTTGCATGCATAAAGCTACGACGTAGGGATCCCCTAAGAAAGGATTTTGATAAATTCCACCCCTAAGGGGATAAATTAACGCGAGCGAAGCCGCGGGCAAAATCTAGTAATAGATAAATCTATAGCACAACAACGAAATACAATTGTATTAATACTTGTTAATTGTAATTAAAAGTTTCTAAATCGAATCCATTGTTATATGTTTCTTATTCACTTCTGTAATTAAATTTTCAGCTCTTTAATTAACTTGACAAACAATCATTTTCAGCTTCTCTTTTATATGAAACAAAATGATAAATCAATATACTATTGGGAACTGTATATTTTTTATTGAAATATTAATTTTGTTAATAAGACTTTTATTGGGCACTTCAATTTTTCATTTTTGTTAATCTTGATGTATATATATTGTTTTCTATATAATAATATATATATATAACCATCCCCATAATCAATAAAAAAGGATAAGAGAAGTTATTGACAAGTGAGGAATAGAGGTGTGTAAATAAAAAAATAATCTTAATAATTGAGATATAATCATTTTAAAAAGCCAGAATATAAATTTAGGCGCTCCAGATACTTAAATGATTTTAAATATAAAAGTTAACTTTCAGTATAAAAAATATATACGAACATAGTTTACTATCAAGAATTTAATATTTGTACGGACTGTATTGACTAAAGTGAAACTATATAGTGCTAAATGACAAATTATGAAGTGACACAAATCGAGTACATTGCAAGTCGTTTTTCAATATACCCTCAATAGAGTGACGTTAACGATACTTATAACAATTACTGCCTGATTCTGCTGGATATTTTAACTAAATATTTATTGACAAAAGAAAAATAAATATGTCAAAGAAAAATAATAATATTACATGCGCCGGGTGTTTGGGAAATATTGAGAGCAGACGCTATTTGATTTGCAGCTCATGTAAATTACATTACGACCTAGATTGTAACAACATACTAAAGCGTGTGGACATGATGGGATAACTATCGAAATGCTGAAAATGACAGTGAAAGCTACGCTGCCAATTATTACAAACTTAATTAACGATTCAATCACATCCAATTACTTTCCACAACAATGGTCACTTGCTAAAGTAAAACCTATTCTAAAAAGATCAATCGGTAATGATTTAAAGGATTTGCGACCGATCAGTCTTCTTCCAATTCTGTCCAAAATTATAGAAAAGATTGTCTATGAACAGCTCTCGAGTTATTTAGAAGATAAACAATTGCTGCCGAAACTACAGTCAGGATTCCGGAGCGACCATGGGACGGCATCTGCTCTCTCTAAGGTCACTGATGACATACTAACAGCATCTGATGAGGGCAAAGCAAGTATACTGGTACTGTTAGACTTCTCACGCGCCTTTGACTGTATAAATCATCGGCTCCTTTTGGAAAAAATGGCTTATTATGGAGTGTCACCGGCAGCATGTAATTGGTTTGGGTCATTTCTGGGAGGTAGACGCCAGTACGTAGAATTACAGACAAGTGATGGCATAATAAAGAAATCTCAAATAAAGTCAGTCAACAAAGGTACGCCACAGGGCTCCATATTGAGTCCTCTCTTATTTATAGTGTACACGTCTGATCTCCCTGCTATTATCGGTCACTGTCGGTTGCATCTCTATGCCGATGATACTCAACTTTACTATTCCTTTTTGCCAGAACATCTCAGGCAAGCAGAAATTGACATAAATGAAGATCTTGATTCTCTCTTTAAATGGTCTGAAAACAACCAGCTTGTCCTAAACCCCTTGAAATCGAAATTTTTAATTCTAGGTACTAAAGTACAATGTAAAAAAACTAAACATCAAAATCCACAGATTTTTATTGGTAACCAATCAATAGAAAGAGTAGATACAGCAAAGAATCTCGGCTTGTTAATTGATTCACAATTACGTTTCATAGATCATATAAACTCTAAAATAAGAACGTCCTTTTACAAACTAAAAACACTTTACAGTATAAGAAAACACTTAAGTATTCCCATGCGAGAAACTCTAGTAGAAACCTTAATATTGTCTCTTTTTAACTATTGCGATACAGTATATGGTCCAAGATTGTTGGAGGAAACTCGCAAGTCTATTCAAAGAGTTCAAAATGCTTGCCTTCGCTTTTGTTACAACATACCTAAACGTGAACATGTTACACCTTATTACCACAAAAATGGAATTTTAAATATGACTTCCCGTAGAGAGTTGCACTTCTCCTGCTTAATTCAAAAAATTGTCCATCGCGGTCGTCCGCAGTATCTATATGAGAAATTGGAGTGGGCAAAGACTAGACATAACAGGGGACTTCGTGAATGCAGACGTGATATGTTAAGCATACCTACACACAAATCCGTTAATTATAGAGGAGGTTTCAAATTCACTGCCGCTAAAATCTGGAACGATCTGCCTCCGCCATTACGCCAAATGATAATACCGCTAAAATTTAAAATCTCTTTAAGGAAAATTATATTAGATAGACAGAGACAGCCCTTGGATAGCGGCGACAAATCTCGACATAAAATGTGATTTTTTTTTTTTTTATTGTGTAGATGCACATGCATTGCATGCATGTCACGTGTCCAATAATATCCGTCTGGATATTATTATTATTTATGTAGTAATTTGTTAAATTTTTATTTCATTATGTTGTGGTATTGTTATCTAGCACGTGTGATTAAGTACGCCTGCGTAGGTACAAACTGAAAACCAGCGCTGGACGCCCATCAGTCCGGCAATAGCTGAGTTTGTACCTATTGCCAATCATGTTAAATATGTATAAATGTGTAACTGTGTAACTGTGCTGATGTTGGCAATAAATGGATTTATTTATTTATTTATTTATTTATTTATATAATTATGTAGCATCGTGTTTCGTAATCTGCGCTGTAATCATAAAACTACATGTTCAATATGACGCACACACGTGCCCTTATTACATGGTACGTTACCATATATTTGTCAAAATAATTAACATGTTAATGAATTTATTTAGCAATTTATACTCTCTATATATTTATTTTAAACAGGTGGAATACATTTTGTTATGAGTTTATTATGTCGCTTTCTTATTTCGTAATCCGCGCTGTAATCATAAAACTACATGTTCAATATGACGCGCACATGTGCCCTTATTACATGGTACGTTCCTCCGTAGCATTCAGCATGGAGACTTTTTACGTTTTTCCCAGGAAACTTTTCTCGTTTGTCCGGGATTTCGGAATATGTTCGGTTTTTATGAAAGTAGCATCACATGTTGCTCGGTGATATTAAATTTCGTCGAAGCATTTCGCTACGCTTTCAAGATCTGTCTCGGTGGCGATATCTCGTTTGCATAATTAGTTTGCGAGTACATTCGCAGATGATCCAGTTATCATAAATTCGATTGAATATCCCTCTAGTATGTTTCTAATAGTGTTGTATCTTTAAGACCTACAATAAGATTCACTGTCAGTTTTATATTATGTATTAAAATCTTTAAATCCACTATCATAACTATTGATCATATCACCTCTAGTCTCTTGTATTTTATATAATCTTTTTTTGCCGTACCCCTCCGATCGATCCCCCGTCCAATTCAAACGGAGATCGATATTACGACGGCCTAAGCCGAGGTTCGAACCCCTAGTGGTGCCCTCAGACTAAAATTGTATCCGTCAGGCAGGAGTTGGCCTTCAGCCGCTCCATAAGTCCTTCCGCGGGTTTGGAGTGCCATCTGCACTCGCCCCCTAACGTCCGGTGAAGATGTAAAGGCCAGCTACGGCCAACAGCATTAATGTAGTCCGAAAAAAAAAATGGAGGAATATTGCAATGTTTAATTTGTTGCATTATTGAAATAAAAAATGTTTAGAATGTATTGTACACAGAATTTAAGACGCCACGGAATGTTCCAGAATAATTGCGATAAATTGTAGGTATATAAAGTGAAACAAAACAACATCGATGTTCCACACGTGACGTTCCAAATTTGAATTTTATTATTTTATTTTTAAATATATTAAATGGCTATTTGTGATCGCAAACAATCTTTAATTTATACATATTGTTGTATTGGATAAGAAATATTATTAAATTGATCGTGTCGATGGACACAGTTTTAATTAGTTCATCATTGCCTTTTTCTTTCAACTATGTGTTTACGTATTCATGTTTGTTTTTGACTATAACTCTGTTATTTTTTATGTCATATAATAAATAAATAAATAACCCTGGACAATTAGCACAGCGCGTACAGAAAAGACACCTGATATA